TCAAAATTTATTTTTACATTCATGTTCACAACGTAATTTATAAAGCAAATTCCTGTTAATTCTTGTACATAAGTTTTCAAAATTTTATAAAAATGTGATGTTTTACATAATTGGAACAAAGATTATTGTCCTTAAAATACTACAATGTTTCCTACGCAAAATGGATCGGATTAGCCTTGTTGTATAGGTTAAACTTTGTAACAAAAAGATGCTTTATTACTGCTGAAACAGATGCTAATGAGAATGTATTCTATTCCAAATCAAAAAACACGAGCAAAAATGAAAAGCCTCATATAAATAAGACCAAGACGCTGCTCATACATCCAGTGGGACAAAGTAAACCAATAATTAAAGTCAGTTAAGGGGTTATGTGGGATTTAAGCATGAATTTCTAAAAATTCAGAAATTACTAAGATATTTTAAAAAATTGCTAAATTTAATCATGAAATGCTATAGTTACAAAAATATTGTTAATACAAATTCCTATCAGTTATAATCTTTGTGGGTCATTTTAGGCTACCTCATAAAATTGGGTTTTCTACTTTTATTAAATAATTTTTTAATTCTGATATTTATATTTCAGAAAATATGATGTAGCTATAATTGGTGGTGGAATTGTTGGTACAGCAAGTGCAAGAGAAATAATTGGCCGTCATCCTAAATATAAGATGGTCCTTTTGGAAAAGGAAGATCGTCTTGCAGTTCATCAGACAGGCCACAACAGTGGAGTTCTTCATTGTGGCATTTATTACACTCCCGGCTCTTTAAGAGCAAAATTATGTGTTCAGGGAATTAAATTATTGTATGACTATTGTGATGAAAAGAAAATTCCATATAAAAAATGTGGAAAATTGATTGTGGCTACAAATGAAGAAGAATTAAAAAGGCTAAAAGATTTATTTGATCGTGGAATTCAAAATGGTGTACCTGATCTACAAATTTATTGTCAGTCTGAAATTCATAAAATAGAGCCTCATTGTTGTGGTGTAGGTGCTATATATTCACCTATTACTGGCATTGTTGATTATGCTAAAGTAACAGAAACAATGGGAAAAGATTTCAAACAATGTGGTGGTGAGATCAAGGTTAGCTTTCACGTTGACAAATTTGAAGATTCGAAAGATCCACAATATCCAGTAAAGATCACATCTAAAAGTAAAGAAGTAGTGGAAGCGAAACATGTTTTAGTATGTGCTGGTCTATTTTCTGATCGTCTTGCTGTAAAGACAGGATGTCCACGTAATCCACAAATAGTTCCTTTCCGTGGAGAGTATCTAATTCTTCTTCCACAGAAACGAAATTTAGTTAAAGGAAATATTTACCCAGTCCCAGATCCCAGATTACCATTTCTAGGAGTTCATTGTACACCAAGAATGGATGGAAATATATGGCTTGGTCCAAATGCTGTAGTAGCTTTTAAACGTGAGGGCTATAGGTAATTGCTATATAACTTCAAATATTAGTAAAATATTTCTGTATACGTCAATTTTATATTTATTTTAGATGGAAGGATATTAATATAAGAGACACGTTAGAAATGCTTACTCATACTGGCTTCATTAAATTAACACTGAAAAATTTGATGTTTGGTTTTAAGGAAATTTTGAGATCTTGTTTTGTACCACTTCAAGTTGCTAATCTGAATAAATTCCTACCGGAATTAACAGAATTAGATGTCAAAAGAGGACCTGCTGGTGTCAGAGCTCAAGCTATTGATGCTAGTGGTAACATATACTTATGCAAAAAGTTCTGCTAGTTATTTTAATTAACTATTATGGGACAAACCATATAATTCTATATATTTCTAATAGGAAAGTTGGTTGATGACTTCGTTTTTGATAAGGCGAAAAAAAGGCCATTTGATCGAATACTTCATTGCAGAAATGCACCTTCACCCGGTGCAACTAGTTCCATGGCAATAGCGATAACAATTGCTGATAAAATTGATGAGCAAATAGAAGAGGTGAAAAAGTGGGAAGAAAAACAGCGACAGAAAAAGGAAGAATCAATCTGCTGAAAAGATTCTGACTTTTTGTAGTGAGGTAGTAATTTAAAAATATTGTTTTAAATGTTGAAATACATGCATCATACCATAATAGAAAAATGTAATGAGTTAGTTGCTCGTAAAAAATATTTTGTATATAAACAAGTTAAAGAAAACCATTAATGTAAATATAACAAATTTATTACTAATATATTTTATATAAATATGAATGTTTGTACAATAATTTTAACATTGAGATAAAATATATAAATTTTGGCAATTATATAACAGGTAGATAAAATATTAAATTAAAGAATGAAACATCTCAAATTAAGAAAAATAAATAGACAGATTCCCTACCGTAACCACAACATTACTAAAATCAAGCGCAGCAGTGATGTGGAAGGCAATATTTGTTAAAACTACAATATACTCGGATAGAGCAAAAAATGAGTACACTGAAATTGAAAAATTAGTAAATATTAGTGCCTTATCTAGAAATATTTGAAATAAAAATTAATCATAAATACATAAATAAAACAAAATGAATAATAAAGTGAGTTGTGAATAACAATTAATTACCACAATTTGGGATGGTTCATAGATTTTTTAAAAGTACATATGAAGAAAAAAATAATTTATACAAGTCATCTGTTTGCATCGAGAAATGTACTTTTTCCACTTATGCTCAAATGGTTTGATGGATTAAAAATAGGAATTGAAATTTTGTTTAACCATTAGAGACATATAATTCAGTAGTCATTTCAAAAGATTATAACTATGTGCATATAAGTGTCATAACATCTTCAAAATATTTAGGCAAAAACAATTTTCTTCTGGGAAGTGAATAGATTCTTTAAGTTCAATGATATTTAAAATTATTTACCTCCGGGCTCACAATAAGCGTTGTGCCGAACAAAGAAATATCCAGCAATCATAAATGAAACTATATTTATTATCAAGCATTTCCATTTGAGATTTAAGGATTTAGATTGCTTTTTAGTTAATGGCTTGGTTCTTGATGTTTTTAATAAAAAGCATGTTAATATCATGTATACTTCAGATGTTGCAATGAATGTCAGAAAACATGCTTTGTGTATTGCTAAAATAAAAAATATATAAGAAGGATATAATATATAAATAAATAAATTATATATATTTTAAAAAATAATCTATTATGAATTCCTGCACAATTATCTTAATATAAACAAATAACACTTTAAGTTTGATGAAAACAGCAATTGCAAAAAAGTTTTTAATAAAAAAACTCATTTTAAAATATTTATTAGAGGTTTAAATGCTTTTTGTGAAATGAAAAAATAAATTTAAACTTATGATTTATTAAATAAATAAATATTTGCTTAATTTAGTTTCATAACTGTAAAAAAGTTTGTTCAATTTCAAAAGCAAATATATAAAAGTTGATAGAGAAGACTTTTATTATTGATCGAGCTCAAATTTAAATTGCTAATAGTCATATTTACTAACTCACAATAATATTCCTGCGAAGACCAATAAGATAATCCAACCAACATGAAAATTTCCGTTGTATTTAAAAAGCCTGCAAAATGCTTTATACTCGAAGCTTTTGGTATTAATAGTTCAGTATATAATTTCTGGTACATGATAACAACACATAGTCTTGGTAATAGTGCTAAAGTAACGGCAGTGTTCCAGACATATTTTTGAGGACTATAACTACCTATCGCCGAGGATATCGATGGCAAAAAGTTAAATACATGGCAATGGGTTGAAGTGCTATCCTCAAAATTATATAATATGGACCATAATATACAAAAGATAAAACTAAAGAATTGTATTGATACAACACAAATCACTATTTTATTACAGGGTAGACGGAATCTTACTGACTTCCCTGATTCGTGTAGGGGTATATAATTAATTTTTGATGTCATTTTAGCCTAAAACTTATTTTTTTACTTATTAACTAATTACACTAAATTTATCAAAATTTTGACATTAGTCATGATGACTACATAATGTCGATAAAAAAACATAACCTTCAATCAGTGCCCTTATTCTGAATACTCGTCTGAAGTAATCTCAAATAAACATCAAGTGTAAACAAGTATAATTACTAATGAAAGTACATAATATACTTATCATTTTTTTGTATTGTTTTTATAAGGGTTATTGATGGATGATTTCCCCTAGTTATTACCATTTATTTCCATTGTTATATTATGAGTCATTACGAAAAAATAACCAAAATATTAAATTATGAAAAAAAGACAGAATTACAGTAGTCCAGTAATTACATCTTTTACAAACAAAAAGAGTCATAATATAATTAACACGCGGAAGAAACAATATTTTAACTATTTATTACCTTTGACGGAGGTCATTCAAAAATGAATTTGTAAATACTACATTATTTAAGCAAGTTGAAAACAAAAACAAATGATTATGTACTTGAATACTATTTATTATCACATTTATTAAATTAAATAATGATTACACTTAACAACTATTCTTAAATTCTAGTCAGATATCAGTCATATAATAAATACTTAAGAGAAAATGCATCACTAGAAATTTCTTCAGTCCTTATTTGATTAATTTTAAGGTACTTTGTTTAATCAACTTCTTCTATCGTTGGCCCCTGCCTTCCACCAAAGCCTCCGGCTTGCTGCCCACAAGTTTGTGCTTGTGCTCCACTTGAATTGGCTTGATGTAGCTTCATCATAAGCGGCGTACAAATCTGTTGGAACTCTTTCTCTTTTTGTTCATATTCATGGCATTCTGCTTGGGGATTCTGATCTATCCAAGATAATATATCATCACATGCCTTGCGTGCTGTTTCACAATCTTGCTGCGGAAGCCTGCTTCCAGCATCGGCCAGAGCTTGTTTTACTTGTAATGCATATCCTTCTAGTTTATTCTTTGCATCAATTCGTTTCTTTATTTTTTCATCTTCCTCTTTATATTTTTCTGCTTCTTTGACCAATCTGTCTATTTCTTGCTGGGACATTCTGCCCTTATCATTTGTAATAGTAATATTCTTAGAACTACCACTGCTCTTGTCAGCTGCAGTTACATTTAAAATACCATTAGCATCTAAATCGAAAGTGACTTCTATTTGTGGTACACCACGAGGTGCAGGCGGAATTCCAGTTAAATCAAAGGTTCCTAAACGATTGTTATCTTTGGTCATAACCCTTTCTCCTTCATAGACTTGAATTGTTACTGCAGGCTGATTGTCTGCATAAGTGCTGAAGGTTTGTGTTCTTTTACATGGAATTCTTGCATTGCGTTCAATAATCTTAGCCATTGTACCTCCTGCAGTTTCTATCCCCAATGAAAGTGGGGCTACATCTACCAGTAACAAGTCTTTTATTTGATCACTGGAATCACCTGTTAAAACAGCAGCCTGTACTGCAGCACCATAAGCCACAGCTTCATCTGGATTTATGGAAGAATTTAAGGTCTTTCCTGCAAAGAATTCTTGTAGCAGAGATCGAATTTTAGGTATTCTTGTGGAACCTCCCACCAATACAACATCATGTATGGCTCCTTTGTCTAACTTTGCATCTCTTAACGCTTGTTCAACTGGGCGTAAAGTAGAGCGGAATAAATCAGAGCATAATTCTTCAAATCTTGCTCTTGTAATTTTGGTGCAGAAATCAATACCATCCTTCAAAGCTTCAACTTCCACACATGCTTCCGTACTAGTTGATAGAGTTCTTTTTGCACGCTCTGCAGCAGTTCGTAATCGTCTCATAGCCCTAGGATCGGTTCTTATATCCTTTTTGTACTTTCTTTTAAATTCGTCCATGAGATGATCTACTAGACGATTGTCAAAATCTTCACCGCCTAGATGAGTATCACCGGCAGTTGCTCTGACTTCAAATAGAGATCCTTCATCAATTGTTAAAACAGATACATCAAATGTGCCTCCACCGAGGTCAAATATTAACACATTCCTTTCTCCTTGTAGGTGTTTATCTAAGCCATATGCCAAAGCAGCAGCTGTTGGTTCGTTTATAACCCTTAAAACATTCAAACCTGCAATGACACCAGCATCTTTTGTAGCTTGCCGTTGAGAGTCATTGAAATAAGCAGGAACAGTAATAACTGCATCTTTCACTTTCTCTCCAAGATAGTTTTCAGCTGTTTCTTTCATCTTAACTAGCACCATTGCACTAATTTCTTCTGGTGAAAAGCGTTTCAGTTGGTTCTTGTATTCAACTTCAATTTTAGGTGTTGTACCAGTTTGTCCAATTACTCGGAATGGCCAATGCTTCGAATCTTGCTGCACTGCAGGTTCTTCCCATTTTCTACCAATTAATCGTTTAGCATCAAATACAGTATTTTTTGGATTCATAGCGGCCTGGCCCTTAGCTGCGTCTCCAACCAAACGTTCTGATTCAGTAAAAGCAACATAGCTTGGCGTGGTGCGATTTCCCTGATCATTTGCAATAATCTCCACTTTTCCCTGCTGCCATACTCCGACACAGGAGTATGTAGTTCCCAAATCTATTCCAATAGCTGGCATTTTTTTCTATGTTAGACTGTTTGATTGTTAATCAAAATTAAATCCAATTGAACTCGAACTTTGCGTACTAATTAAACTTTTGCAAATATATTTTAATTAAATGCACCTTAGATTTATTTTATTCACTTCAAATATAAACACTTTTAAAGCACAATTGCGTATGTATTCGCTTTTCTCTTTTCGTGAATTGCTCTATGTTTTGAATTAAACTGATGTAAGCAGCCATCGCGCTTGTTTATATACATCAATCGAAAGCACGAGAAACGACTCGAAAATTCATTTGACAGTCGAGAACAGTGAAGTTCGAGAACAGTCGCTGCGGAACATTCTAGTGTAGAAACAATCCAGACATCGTGACAGGGTACGTAACATAAATAAAAATCCCCTGCTCTTCTGGATTGTTTCTACACTAGAATGTTCTGCAGCGACTGTTCTCGAACTTCACTGTTCTCGACTGTCAAATGAATTTTCGAGTCGTTTCTCGTGCTTTCGATTGATGTATATAAACAAGCGCGATGGCTGCTTACATCAGTTTAATTCAAAACATAGAGCAATTCACAAAAAGAGAAAAGCGAATACATACGCAATTGTGCTTTAAAAGTGTTTATATTTGAAGTGAATAAAATAAATCTAAGGTGCATTTAATTAAAATATATTTGCAAAAGTTTAATTAGTACGCAAAGTTCGAGTTCAATTGGATTTAATTTTGATTAACAATCAAACAGTCTAACATAGAAAAAAATGCCAGCTATTGGAATAGATTTGGGAACTACATACTCCTGTGTCGGAGTATGGCAGCAGGGAAAAGTGGAGATTATTGCAAATGATCAGGGAAATCGCACCACGCCAAGCTATGTTGCTTTTACTGAATCAGAACGTTTGGTTGGAGACGCAGCTAAGGGCCAGGCCGCTATGAATCCAAAAAATACTGTATTTGATGCTAAACGATTAATTGGTAGAAAATGGGAAGAACCTGCAGTGCAGCAAGATTCGAAGCATTGGCCATTCCGAGTAATTGGACAAACTGGTACAACACCTAAAATTGAAGTTGAATACAAGAACCAACTGAAACGCTTTTCACCAGAAGAAATTAGTGCAATGGTGCTAGTTAAGATGAAAGAAACAGCTGAAAACTATCTTGGAGAGAAAGTGAAAGATGCAGTTATTACTGTTCCTGCTTATTTCAATGACTCTCAACGGCAAGCTACAAAAGATGCTGGTGTCATTGCAGGTTTGAATGTTTTAAGGGTTATAAACGAACCAACAGCTGCTGCTTTGGCATATGGCTTAGATAAACACCTACAAGGAGAAAGGAATGTGTTAATATTTGACCTCGGTGGAGGCACATTTGATGTATCTGTTTTAACAATTGATGAAGGATCTCTATTTGAAGTCAGAGCAACTGCCGGTGATACTCATCTAGGCGGTGAAGATTTTGACAATCGTCTAGTAGATCATCTCATGGACGAATTTAAAAGAAAGTACAAAAAGGATATAAGAACCGATCCTAGGGCTATGAGACGATTACGAACTGCTGCAGAGCGTGCAAAAAGAACTCTATCAACTAGTACGGAAGCATGTGTGGAAGTTGAAGCTTTGAAGGATGGTATTGATTTCTGCACCAAAATTACAAGAGCAAGATTTGAAGAATTATGCTCTGATTTATTCCGCTCTACTTTACGCCCAGTTGAACAAGCGTTAAGAGATGCAAAGTTAGACAAAGGAGCCATACATGATGTTGTATTGGTGGGAGGTTCCACAAGAATACCTAAAATTCGATCTCTGCTACAAGAATTCTTTGCAGGAAAGACCTTAAATTCTTCCATAAATCCAGATGAAGCTGTGGCTTATGGTGCTGCAGTACAGGCTGCTGTTTTAACAGGTGATTCCAGTGATCAAATAAAAGACTTGTTACTGGTAGATGTAGCCCCACTTTCATTGGGGATAGAAACTGCAGGAGGTACAATGGCTAAGATTATTGAACGCAATGCAAGAATTCCATGTAAAAGAACACAAACCTTCAGCACTTATGCAGACAATCAGCCTGCAGTAACAATTCAAGTCTATGAAGGAGAAAGGGTTATGACCAAAGATAACAATCGTTTAGGAACCTTTGATTTAACTGGAATTCCGCCTGCACCTCGTGGTGTACCACAAATAGAAGTCACTTTCGATTTAGATGCTAATGGTATTTTAAATGTAACTGCAGCTGACAAGAGCAGTGGTAGTTCTAAGAATATTACTATTACAAATGATAAGGGCAGAATGTCCCAGCAAGAAATAGACAGATTGGTCAAAGAAGCAGAAAAATATAAAGAGGAAGATGAAAAAATAAAGAAACGAATTGATGCAAAGAATAAACTAGAAGGATATGCATTACAAGTAAAACAAGCTCTGGCCGATGCTGGAAGCAGGCTTCCGCAGCAAGATTGTGAAACAGCACGCAAGGCATGTGATGATATATTATCTTGGATAGATCAGAATCCCCAAGCAGAATGCCATGAATATGAACAAAAAGAGAAAGAGTTCCAACAGATTTGTACGCCGCTTATGATGAAGCTACATCAAGCCAATTCAAGTGGAGCACAAGCACAAACTTGTGGGCAGCAAGCCGGAGGCTTTGGTGGAAGGCAAGGGCCAACGATAGAAGAAGTTGATTAAACAAAGTACATTAAAATTAATCGAATAAGGACTGAAAAAATTATCTAGTGATGCATTTTCTCTTATAAAAGCTTAAGTATTTATTATATGACTGATATCTGACTAGAATTTAAGAATAGTTGTTAAGTTGTAATCATTATGTAATTTAATAAATGTGATAATAAATAGTATTCAAGTACATAATCATTTGTTTTAGTTTTCAACTTAAATAATCTAGAATTTACAAATTTATTTTTAAATGATCTCTGTAAAATATCATAATCATTTCATATCTACATGCGATGTCTACATAGATATTATCTTATATATATAGATTCTTCAAATTTGGATTTGTACATCGTTTGGAATTCAAAAGAATGTAAAAAGTTTTCCATTTTGTATGTAAAATTACGAAAATAATATATATATCACTAAATTTACAGGCACAAAGGCACTAAATGTGCCTTACTATATTGTCTAAGATGTGCACTATGCAATCTTAAAATATGAAATCTTTGCAATCAAAAATCATTTAAGTGATATGTGCATAATATACAATAGGCAGAAGCCTGGCAGAGGATAAAAAATATAATACTTGAACAATATACGTATACTTACAATTAGAATGAAACTGTAATACTGATTAACGTTCATAGATAGCCTCAGTTTTTCTAGGTTATTTCTAAGTTAGTGATGTTCCTCACATTCATTTTGTGGACCTAGAGTATCATTTTTTGCTGATTAGGATCTCTTGAGGGTGTTTAAATCAATTAACGATTTCCAAATAATCGATGTGTATAGATAAATTGATAAAATCCCTCCAAACAAATTTGACAGCTTTGACGGTTAATGGCGTTTGAGTAACTTCACACCGGGAGAGTGCTTTTGTTGGTAAATTAGTAGATAATGCCTTAATGTGTCAGATCTGTCAGATATCTATATATCGTTCATAGATACATCAGTTTATTAAATAATACAGTTTAATTTACACCCTTAAGTTTAAATGTTTAAAGTTATTCGGAATTTAATGATATAATCGTGTAACCAAACCGTTTCTCAACAGACAATAACCGACCTACCATAACCGATGTTTCATAAATAGTTTGCAGTATATTGTTATTACACCAATTTAACACTTACAACAATTTGAACTAAGTAAGTAATTAATTAGTAATGGAGTTGTTAGACCCAAAAGAAGTTTTAACATATTTAAACGAAAAAGGATTCCATAACATATCAGCACATCAATTGAAGGAATTTATTTATGGTAAGCAATTAGGTTATTAAGTTGCTCCTATATAATTACTTTTAATCCTTACCTCATATTTTTAGATTTAAAAAGGCTCATAAAACACGATTTACAATTGCAAGAGAGAAAAGAACATGAAGAAGAATTAGAAAAAGAAAGGTTATTTGATTACCTTTATAAAACTTCGACAACTAGTTTTGAAGCAAAACGGGCTAAACATAAAAAAGACTATATTCCTATACCTCTTGAGAAACGTAAACCAATGTTCATTCAACCAAGTTGCTGTAATAATAAACAAGATACAAAGGTTAATCCAAAACATGTTAGTTCGAATTATTCTAAAAAATATAGTGATACAGTAGATGCATGTGATGGTGAGGTTTATGAAAGCTGTCAAAGTGTTTGTTCGGAAAGCATAAACCCAGAATTGATGAATGCGAAATCAGATTTGAGTTTGCCAACTAAATCTTCAAAATCTAAAGCTTGTAAGTCTTCCTTATGTTTTATATACCTTTGTCTTTTGCATGTTGAAAAAAAAATTAAATTTCAAATTTTTAAAATGAGTTGCAATACAAATAAACTACATTAATCATAAAAAATGCAGTTAAAGATCACTGAATTATTAGTGCTTGCGTTTTCTAATAATTTTTTAGATTTAGATTTAGATGAGTTTTATCTAAAGATACAAATTCAATATTATTTTTAATTTTTACTAATGTACACTTAAAAATTTAATTTATAGTTATACGACCTCGTCTTAATGTGAAGAAGCCTGTGAATAAATCAGATCCTGTTGCCTTATATCATGCTTATCAATCGGACTGGAAAAAGTTTAAACACCGAATGCCTGGCCAAACTAATAGAAACTCTTTAAGGTGGAATATACGAGAGAAAATGATGGGATAATAAAATTGAGGTTTTTTTTATTACATTTTACGTTTTTAAACTATCAACTTTATAACTAATCATTACTGATGATCATTATACATTATATATAACATATATTCATTATGATATTTTTATTAATTGTAAAATGTAATATTATGAACAATATATGAAAATAGCATTTAAAATCTAAGAAAACTCTTGATTTAATATAGCATCCTTCTTAATAAATATGTAGATAGATAGTGTAATTTGTTTAAAAACTTAAATTGAAAATATAATTATAGAACTAAACTTATGAAATATATAATAGATAATACTACTAGATAATTTTTGATAGCTTAATATTTCAATTCTCATTTGTATATTTTATAAATAATTTACTCGAATTGAAACAATAATACCCATATTTTATTTATTTATAATTAATACCCATATACCCATATTTTATAATTAATGAATAAATGCGAATTGTAACCTTATTTTAGCAAAAGAATGTTTGTTATAACACAGTAATATGAAACAGTTTTCAGATTTTTAATTTTCATTAGTGAATGAAAATAAAATGTGCAAAACTTATATTGTATTGAGACCAGAATGTAAATTGTATTTGGCGTGGTAATACACAAATGGCTTTGAATTACTCGGAATGCATTTGCAATTCATCTGCAATCTATACTTCTTAAGATTGATTAGTTTGGAATCCTTTGAACCATTTTCACATAATTTACAGTTAAAGATGGTGAATCCTTCACATAGACTTTTGAATTTATAAAATTTAATTAGAATGTTTATGAGCAAAGTTATACTTTAATCCAGTGATTTTCAACTTGTGGGTAGCGAGGCTGGTTCAAGAGGGAAAACAAACCAAAAATGTTATTTTTTTATTTATATTTTTATCAGTTTTGTAATAAAAACTTGTAATATCTTCATGGTATGGCTGATCTTCACAAAATCATCCCAACTTTTAAGTTGTTTTTCGAAGTTATTTCAATTTTAAAAGTCAGTTCAGGAACTTTAAACGTTAACGGCGATTTTTAATATTAATTACAAAAAGTTCAATTAATCAAAGTGGTTCATTATTAGTTTTATAAATTATCTTGTTAAAATAGTTATAATATTTTGATAAAACGTGGCTTGTGTTTATGTATTCCCACAAAAACCCTTTTCTTTTTCGGGAAGTTAAAAATAATTACTAAATAAGCAATGTATTATATCTTTTGACAATTATATTTCTTGTTAAGACTTTGTGGTTTACTTTGGTGTTGAATATTCAAAGATCTTATTATAAGGTCTATGGGAAAATTCCATCTTTTTCTTCATCGAGTCCACATATAGTTTGTAAGGAAATATCCATAACATGTTGTAGAATTAATGGCTCGTACGCAAATAGAACAGAAGCGCTGACGAGTAACATCCAGGGAGCCGTGTAATCTATATTCAAGAAAGCACACCCTTAGTCGCAATAACAAGTGAACCCTCATTAGCCGACATCATTTAACATCAATTTGTATTCATACGCGCTCTCGCTTGGGTGTATAACAACGCAGATAGAGCATTCGTGCGGCGAAAGTGAAAATGCCGCAAAAAGCGCATCGGCACTAAAGAAACCTTCCTTTTGCGATGATATTATTTTGATTAGATGTGCTCATTTTTGTTGAAACTAGTCCGATTATTTTTTCACAAGATCGAACTTTTTACTGCTTCATTTCGCCTGAAAAAACTTTTAATGATCATTGATCGCATTGAAGTAAAAAGCATTTCTTTGAGGACTTATTGGAAAATAAATATTAGCAAGTTGACGAAGATTATATAGTTTATTCATAACTATTTCAAGTAACTTATATCATTATTATTATATAATTCTTATATTTCATTCGGCCAATTATCTGGTCTTTAAACGTATATAAGAAAGCAATTGTGCGTTCTTACATGTATCTATTATATACATAATGTTTTGCATTGTCTCTCATTAAGGTTAAAAAGTGAATTATTAGGATTATAAGACAACGAGCTATGGCCAAGTAGTTATAAACGTTTTACCCGCAGATACAGGCGTACAGAGATTCAAGTAATTGATATGTATTCGAATAAATGGATATAATTTGAAAATTTGTGCCTAAAAGAATAAAGTAAAAGAAGGTTTATTTGGTGATCAAAAAATTATTCATCTTTTATTATTCGCTGTTAAATAACAATTCTTCTTGTCAACTTCTATCATTCTTTTGAGTCGAATAAATACGGGTACTAAGTTTTGAATACTATTTTTGGCAATGGCGTCATGTCTGAACTTCTTTTCTCACCTTTCACATATATTTCGGCTGGAACTTTCATCAATCAACCGTTTGGCTTGGCTACAGTTTCTACAAAAAAATTCTTTCTATATATAAAGAGACACCAATTCTGAAATCGTAATTTCCAACAATTTCTATTGTAATAACAAATATTTTTGTCTCAAATTCTAACCGTTGCCAATTGTTACTACGAAAGATGATATCCATAAGAAAATCGCATAATAGTGACTGATCTAGCACTAGGAGCCTCGCTTTTGATGGAGACACGATTTCTTTCAGTAGTGTTTAAATTCGCCTTTTAAATAGTTCTTTTTTGTAGTTGTTGGCGAATTGGACAATTAAAGTCAACTTCAATTTTAGAATTGATATAAAACGCAATCGATATCTGAAATTGATCAAATACTTAAATAATATATGTTTATGAAAAAATTTATATACACTTTTTTCTTACGTTTACTACTTTTAATAAAACTAGTTTACTCTTAATCTAGATTTGAATTTTCTATAATTTTTTCACATGTCGTCAATTGTTTGTCTCAAGTTACTCTCTCCCTTCATGTTTTTCTTCGTGAATTTCGCTAGTATTACTGTTTTAAGCGCTTGATTCATTTATATATTATAAACTAGATGACCCGACAGACGTTGTCCTGTACTTATGTTTATAATTCAAAAGTTCCAATTTTTTTAATAACCTATACTGACATTTACCAATTAGTTAAAAATTATTATGTTTTTTTACACTTTTTTCCCATATCGATCTTAAATGTGCACCTGCTCTAAATAAAATTAGGAGTATTTGCTTTTTTGAAAAACATTATTAAACATTTTTTTCTTATAATTAGTTCTTTTATCGATATCCGACGTTATTTTGAAAAAAAAAAAATGAAGTTACACCATTGAGAGGGATGTCATCCCCCCGGGAAATGGCAAAAGAGTTTAAATTTTCACTTTTAAACTTGGGAATAAGATAAACCTAATTTCAAAATTTCATACAAATGGGAGCACAGTAAAAAAATTCAGATCCAAAACGCTCCATTGACTTGAGTAAATATACCGCCGTATACGATGACAAAAATATGAAAATACTAACGATTATATGTGAAAAAAATGGCTGTTTTTAGGGTTTCCCTAGCAATTATTCGATTTTTTCTTGCCGTAAGAACCATCATTGGACTTCAACGAATATTTAAAAAGAAAATTGGCCAAATTGGTCCAGGCGTTGTTGAGTTATGCGCTTACAGTGGCGTCGGAACCAAATTTTTGATGGGTGGGCTAGTTTTTTTTTTTTTTTTTTTGATAGACAACTAGTGGGCTCTTTTTATTTTAGATATTAGCCCATATAATTTTTTGAAATTGATGGGTGGGCTGAGCCCCCCCATCAAAATTCATGGGTGGGCTCAAGCCCACACAGCCCACACGGTTCCGACGCCACTGTGCGCTTACCAACACATTTTGCGATTCATTTTTATATTATAGATATATAATATGTACTGTGAATATAGATTTGAAAAGAAAATCTTCAATCATACTCATCCTGCCTTGTGAATATATTATATATGACTACATAATAAAAAAGTTTCAAATATATCTTTAGAGAAAATAATGAAATACAATTTAAATATTATCTAAATTAGATCGAATATCATTAAATGTCATATTTAATATTTCATGATTTGCTATTGACTGACGGTATAATTTCAAATCTTCGAACTACAACGGTGCTCTCCCGGTGACCTACGGACGCCCTACACCTGTGGCGAGCCATACCTTTAACCGCGCGATGGCAGCTCTTTGCGCGCAAGAAGTACCTACCTACAGAGCACTTTACATTTGAACACATTCCTTTTCGGTCGGTGTACTTTTGATGCATTTAGGCATTATTGACGTTCGTGTAAAGATGACGCGCATGCCCTGTACTTCTGCCGCGAATCGCGATTGTGTTTCAGCGTTGTGCGCCGTGTTACACAGGAACGCAGTTAGGCAAATTGCATTTTCGCACATACAACTATGCCAGGCACGAATGACTCTGATGATCCTCAATGTAAGGGATGTCAAAATTTTGGAATAAAGAAAAAAATGTAACTCTATAGAGAAAATCCCTCAGATATTATGTCAATATATATATAATGCTTAGTAATTATTGAATGTATTGTGTATTATTGTATATATTGTGTTGAACTATTACTATTGCCATTTTTTTTAAAAGCTCAACACAACTTCATAAATTACAGTTCTTACTTTCTGAAGTGAGGCCTCCTTTTTTTTTTAAAAAAATATTTATTTAAATTTTCATTTGGTTCATTGTATCTGGTCCTCTTTTTTATACTGTATTCATACACTTTTTAAATTATTTCAAAATTGAAAGGATTAACTTAACAAAAATATTTTTTTTATATTTTCATCTAAACTACAACTGCCTGAGAAGGCATTCAGTAATTGTTGTGATTAGTTATTCAATAAGTTTTTGAAATACTACCCATTGGTGGTATTTCAAGTAAGTATAATAAATATAAATATGTGACAATAATTGCAAGCAAATAATAAATATAAATATGTGAGAATAATTACAAGCACTATACTAAATATATAACTATACTAAGTCTAATGGATCTAATCTTCTTATTGTTAGTCTCTTGACAGTGTTCGCCGAAAGTAGGTCCTTTGCTAGTTCATTTGGATGGTTCTCCAATCTTGACTTATATTTCGCAGCAAATCTACTAATTGCTTCCGCTATTGTTTGTA